GGGGGGGGGGGGGTGAATAAAGAGCCGAAATGAAACTTATGGAAGGAAGACCCTCACTGCATGCAACTTTTAACCAGTTTTACCCCGGTCTTCACGACTCACCAGTGAGGGGCCAGAGTCTCATTTTAAAAAACACCAGCTAGAACTCCAGCTTCTGAGAGGCATCCCCTGTATGCCCTCCCAACTGGGTTGGCCTTTCCCTAAGGCTTCTTGAGGAATGTGGGTCCAGGGGCCTGGACCTGGGTGGTCCCCAAGAAGTTACACACACACACACACACACGCACGCACGCACGCACGCAGGCTCACATGCCCTCCCCTGCCAGCTGCCCACTGGGCTCTGCACCTTCCTCCTCTCCTCGCACCACTTAGGCCCCTCCCACACCCTGCCCTCTCCTCCAGCCACCCCCCAACCCACCCCACACTCCCACACACACCTTCACTCCCCCAAGAAGGGGAAGGAGAGGGAAGGGGGGCAGTATCAGGCATTCTCTTTCCACGGGGCAGCACCCAGCACATAGTTTTCTACAGGACAGATTACAAATGGTGACTAAATTCTCAATCAGCCCATGGAAGCCTCTTTAACCAACACATTGGTGAAAATCTCAACTTTCATAAGAGTACCATTTTCCACCGTTACTGCAAATGTAGTATATTTTTACCATACATTTTTAAATGAGAAAATAGGTTACGAATAAGCTTTAGTATCTCAGCCACTTTTGACATTGGAGACTGCCTGTATATAAAAGCACAGGAAACCTCTATATTCACAGAGTCAGGATTTGTGGTCAAAAAAATGCAAGCCTCGTCCTCCCTACCCTTGTGGCTTTACCTCCTCTCGAAGCTCTGCCCCTGCATCGCCCCACTTCACACATGGCTGCTGCTGCCCTAGAGCCCAGCCGGGACTTAGCAGCCAGTGTGACTACCGTGAAACACTGAAGTAGTGTGGGCACCCACGGGCGTGCTCCGGCTGTGGCGCCAAGAACTGAAGGGCATTTTGTGGTCGGTGCCTGCCAGCATCAGGAATAAATCTTCAGTTAAACAGTTGTCCAGATGCGTAAGGAAGTGCACCTGGATCAGTTCATCCTCAGGAATCGGATCAGGCACTGAAGGAGTGTGAGGCAGGTGAGCATGCGGCTGCTTCCTCAGACGTGTTCTCCAGCCCCACGAGCCCGGCCACCCCCTGCTCACTCTTGCGAGTCACTGGACCTTGGGCAACCCATCCTTCATCTCTAAAAGGAAGACTGAATGAGATGGTGCCTATCTGTTGGCTCTGTGTAGTAAGCACTTTAAAATGTTGTGCCTATTGTAATGTTTTGAACATCAGATTTCACACTGAAATGAAAATTAGTTGGTTTTTTCCGTTTGGTTTTGTTTTTTGCAGGGGGCGGCGGTCAGCCTGTCCTTCACATGGAGAATATTCAGGGGCTGGTGGATCAGTGGGAGTGCCGGCAGCCTCATCAGGTTTCTCGTTTTGTTTCTGTTCAGGTTGCCCGGCTCATGGAGATGGGATTTTCCAGAGGTGATGCTTTGGAAGCCCTGAGAGCTTCAAATAATGACCTTAATGTGGCTACCAACTTCCTGTTGCAGCACTGACGGTCCCGCAGACAACACTGGGACTGGCGAGCCACTGACCACAGTGGGCTCCGTCCTGCTACAGCATCAGCGCGAGGACCCTGCGCTCCGGCTGATGTTCTCCATGGCTCTTGGGCAAAGGGTGGATCCCACTGCTCCCTCCCTAATTCCAAGATCGTTACTGTTTAAGTATCGAAAATAAGTTTCGATACTCTAAAATAAGTTTGCCAGTCAATTAGCATGTATTTTCTATCTTTATTTTTTTATTGGGTGTTTTTCTTAGTTTGGAGACTCATCACTCATTCCTAATGTGTTTAAAATGCATTAAAATTGCAGCTATCTGCAAGCAGTTGAATAGCACTCCAGATGGGGGATTACTGCTATTGTGATATTATTATTTTTATTATAATGCATCATCCTACATTATATCTCGTCATAAATGCAGTAAAAGGAGGAGGGGAAATGCTATTCAGAAAGGACGTGTCAGGTTATCCCTTACGGCCTTTTTTCATCGCTATTTTTTTTCTCAAATTTGTTTTCAAACCCCAGTGGCTGTCCATTGGCCACACTTCCTAGGGGGTGAGCAGTACCTGTCTGCTGCCCACAGTACAGGCCAGGCCCAGGTGATGAGGGAGAAACAGAACTGATTCCTACACTGTTCCAGCCCATTCCTGTCCAGGGAATTTTTCCCAACTCCTCCCCACTTCCATTAAAAAGTAATGATAGTCAATTACCGATTCTAGGTTCTGGAATACTCCATGAAACTTATCTGGAGTTAACTTTGCTTAGAGTATCCATAATTATCCACCCAGGCTGGGGTAGAAATGGCATAAAGAGAAAACAAAGAGAAGAGGGGCAGGCTGGAGCAATATGGGCAGGTTCTCCTGGCCCAGGGGTTGACTGCGATCTGGGCACGAGGCAGAGTCGACTGCAGAGGATGCCGTCACGGAGACAGGTGGGGAAGGCCGAGGTGGGTGAGCCTAAAAAGATCTAAAGCAGGTGACTCAAGATTTAAGGAAATTGTACAGCAATTGTGTTGTGCAAAATAAGCAGAAATGTATCAAATTGATGTAAATTTGGACATGTATAATACTTACAATAAAGTTTTTAATGTGCATAATTTTTTGGTATTTTTTATTAGACTTAACTAAATAAAACTTTGTTCTAGGCTGTACTGTTTGTCACCTCACTCCCTTTAAAAAATTGCTTAACTGCTCATCTTTCTTCAGAAGAGTTGGGTGCTTTTTTTGAAGTGAGAGAAGCCCTTCTGTTCCTGCAAGTAGGACTGGCCCGTGAGGCCCCATTCTTAGGCTTGCCAGCGACATCGGCTACTCAGAATGGGGGTTGAGGTGACTTTCTGGGAGCCCGGTTGGTCCCAGGCACAGGCTGGGAAAATCAACAGAGAGTCCCAGGGTCCTCAACTGCATTCACTGACCAAGGGCAGGATCAAGACAGCCTGAGTGTGTGCTGACCGCGTGGTCATATGTGACCTCTGAGGCAACTGTAAGTCCCCCCTCTGCCCCGCCCATGCCAAGGCCTCAGGGAAGAATAGCTAGACCCAAAATACGCCATCTCCTGGGCTCCTTCCCGCCTTCAAATAGCACCCAGCAAAGTGAAGCCAAACCAGTGGCAAAATCCTCGCTAAGCCGAGACTTCTCACTCCTGCTCTCCCAGAGGATGCGAAGCAGAGCCCCACTATAGGGGTCACAGTGTGAGGCCTGAATTAAAAAGTGTTGTTTTCTCGTCAGGATTTCCTCCTAACATGATTCATTTCAGAGATCCTTGTCCTGCCAAAAAGAACCTTAGTGACCCTCCACTTTAGGCCTTTAATTTCAAGGGTAGAAATTGAGGTCAGCACAGGTAGTGTGACCATAGGACATAGCCTAACAGTAGCAGAGCTGGGAGGCACCATCAAGTTTTTCCTGATTTCTTTCAGCCTCTTTTTCAGTTCCCTCCAGCTGCCAAGCTCTCCCTTCCCAGTGGTGAGCTCTTACTTTCTTCCTTCATGCAACAACCAGGCCATTCTCCCCTTCATCAGTCACCACCCTCTAGGACAGCCCTACTGTCCCCCACATACACACACCTTCCCACGTGTCAGACGTCTCACTTCCGGGCACGTTTCTTTGCCTTCCTGGAGTTCCCAGCCCTGGCCCACTTTTGCTTCCTGCAGATTTTGACACAAACTGCAGCCACCCACTGCAGGAGTGTGAATGCCGGAGAACACCCACACTTCTTGTCGAGACAAGACTTTCGGGCTGATGGGACCCCTAAAAGAAAATGTTTTGTGTTCCTTGCACAGTGACACATGCCAGAGGGGGGCATCAGCGAGCCATTTCGTTTGGTTTCCTAAGGTCTAGAAAAGATCATTTAGACTTTTGATGTTATGCAAATGGTAACAGATTGAGCCTAATTTTCAAGTGAGCAGATTCCAAATTGTGAAATACAAATCACAAGAAGGAAAACATTGTCTATAGTGACACCCCCGTTTCCCCAAGTAAAGGAAAACCTGACTCTGAAGTCCTGATTCATAAACCTAGACTGAGTTTGGGTTAGAAAGGAAAATATTTTCGGGAAACGAGCACAAAATTGTGAACACATTCCAGTGTCACTTAAAATGTTTTCTGGGTCCCTGAGTTTATGTTCCTACAACACTTGTTCTAAATGGAAATGAAAGTGTCTAAACCACAAACTTAAGAGTTTTATTTTGCCCGGCCGGGCGTGGCTCAGCGGTTGAGCATCGACCTAGGATCCAGGCGGTCGGGGTTCGATTCCCGGTCAGGGCACATGCCCGGTTGCGGGCTCGATCAATGACTCTCTCATCATTGATGTTTCTCTCTCTCTCTCCCTCTCCTTTCCTCTCTCCAAAATCAATAAAGATATATTTAAAAAAAAAGAAAAAGTTTTACTCAGGCAGCTTAAGCGATATTTAATTTGTGAGAACCTAAAGGCTATTTTCTTCACAGCCCCCTAACCCATATGGTGTTTTATATAGGGATGGACCAAGAATGTCAAAACCTGCTTTCTGACTCAGCCTAAATTTTAGTTCTGAAACTGTAGTCTTATGTGTAAGAAAATGTGCCAGGATCATGTGAATTTACTAGCCTGCTGGGTAGAGTAGTATCTAAAGGAGAACCTGCAAAAGCTAAATTGTGGTGGTGCCTCTACTAGAGCTGGGATTTCAGGCTAAGAGGTTTGGGGGTGGGGGGTGATAGACATGGTTTGGACCTAAAGGGACTTGAGGGAAGCAGTCAATAGGTGCTGGAAATCAATCTGAAAAGAGGTAGGGATTAGAGAACTAGATTGGGTGACCTGCACTAATGACAACGTACCCTAGGTGACAGAATACGAAGAGGAGACGAGAGGGTGAATGATGTAGTCTTGAGGAATGCCTGCATTTCTGGTGGAGAGAGAGGAAGAGAAACAGGAGGGGAGTCAGGGGAGGGCAACCCCATCAGAGGTGAGAATATCTAGAGGGGTGATCGGATGGCGGGTGCTGCAGGGCAAGGTGGTGTCAGCCTCTTGCTGGCAGGTTCCAGAGGACAAGAGCTGTACCGTGGGCACAGGTGAGATGGCAGAGGTGGTCTGCCTGCGCTTGTCCAGGAAATCTGGTGGGCAAGAAAGAAGACAGAGAGGCTGTTCCTGGGTCAGCTTGTAGGTCAAGGTAAAGGAGCCGGTGTGGAGAGACCCTGAGATCCAGGCCCCGGAGAGCAGGAACCGCGAGGAAGGGTCATCCTTAAAAACCAGGTCGGACACTTCAGTTCTCTGGAACTAGAGGAAGTAAATGATTAAGGAAACTACAGGTAAGTCGTAAACTAAATTGCAAAGCTGAAGAAGCTCAAGTGGTAATTTTAGCTTCTTGATAAAGGAAGTCAGGTTGTGGAACCATGGTGGGGCTGGGAGATTGAGGAAAGTGGATGCCATAGGGGGCAATTCAGGTAGATAAAACACAAAGGGTCTATATTGGCTAGAAAAAAGGACTTTGACCACTTTTGTTTATTGACTGAGTACTGTGGTCTGTTGGGAATTTCAGAGCCCTGTGAGATTCAGACAAAAATTCAGTGTCTCAGAAACTAGCCCCAGGTTGCAGGCCCCCGTAGTGTCCTCAGACCAGCCCTCAGCTGCCCAGGGGAGCGGATGGTTCTGTGACATTTCTCTCTGTTCTGAGGCGCCCTGCAGGTTTGAGACTTGGAGTGGGAGGAAAGGGTGTGAACAGATCCTGAGGGAGAAGGAGGGCAGAGGGGTCTGATCCTGCACTTCTAGTTAACCCTGAGACATGCCCTCATGTCTTCACCCAAATACAAAAGTGCCTTAGGGACTCTGGGGCTCCTCCAAGACCAGAATGGAGTCCAAGTGGCCATACCCAGATATCTCAGGGCCTTGGACTTCACCTCAGCCAAGTGAAAGAAATAGCAAAGAAATTGCAGTGTGACCCAGAACCCACAGTCACCAAAACTAGAGAAAATCTGCAGAATCCCCACCCTGGTTGCAACCCAGTCATGGTGAGAGCTCTCTTCAGTCTAACTTCTGCCACTTTTTGCCAGTTTGCCCAGACTTTTTCGTTCCCACAATGACTTCCACAAGCGAAATGGAAACCCTTTTCCCTGAGTACGGTATCATAAATTTAGACCATTCACAGTTTCATAGAAAGTTCACACTAGAAGAGAGCTTTTGTCTCATTTAAGCCCACGTTTTACAGACAAGGAGGCGGGTACATGGGCCACCCTGCTATCCACACAAAGAAGGGGTACCTCTGAGGGTGCTGCAGGGAAAGGCACTCATTGCAGGAGTCCAGGGTTCCTTCTGTGGGGTCAGAGTTTTCTTTTCAAACCAGTAAATGTGCCCAAAGCCATGTCTCCCCTTTCTCCCCAGTGCTGCTCCCAACCCTGCCTGCCTCCTTCTGAGAAACCACAGGAGCTCTCCTAACACCGCAGAGACTCATGTGTAGGAGGGTGTCACTGTGACTTTCCAAGAGCTTTGGTGGAGACACATGTCTCTCCCTGAGATTACATGGGCATTAAGGACAAGTCCCCTTCTCCAAGGTGGCCAGGTGGAACCTAAAGCGCAGACTGGATTTGAGGTCTTTGGGATCTTTAAGCTGAGGCTGTGAGTTCCTGTGGTGCCAGCCCCTAGAGCCTTTGTCAATCCCTTGTTCTGAATTTAGCACTTCACTGAAACAAGAGAATAAATGTCTGATTATTCCACTTGTCTCTCACACCCAGACTGGGCCGTGAAGGGGCGGAGTTAGCAGAAAGCTACTGGGAATGCCAAGGGTGACGGTCTACATTGTGTGGAGAAAGGGGGGTCCCAACTCCTTGCTCCACCAGGTCAGGGGCATCACCTGGTCTCTTCTGCTCCTCCCCATCCCCTGCCCTTCAGAGATGCCCTGTGCCCCCAAGTAGGGTAAGCCCAGCCCAGGAGCCCAGGTGGCTGACTTTTCTGTTTTAAGATTTTCATTTCATTGAATGTATTGTAAATCATTTAAGATTTTTAAATGTCTAAAGCATTGGCAATGTACAACTGTAAGTCATGAAGTATTGGAAATGAAGTGCAGTCGTGGTTTTTGCTGTCCTAAGCTCATCCTCTGTGGCCCAATGAGATAAAGATGTATAAGAAAAATTAAGTAAGAAAAAAATGTATAAGAAAATGAGAAAGCCTTCATCTAAATCGATTTTTTATGATGTTAATAAACTAGGTGCAGTTTAGTTCATCTAAAAAAAAAGAAAGATTTTCATTTCATTTCTTTTCAGGGGACCATGGTCAGTTTTGCCCTTCTGCTGTCTTGACAGCTGTGTGTGTGGATTTTTCAGTAAGATTATGTAATGATATACAACAGACGTATTGTATCTGAAAATTGTTCGGCCTAATGTATCTATGCAAATTTTGCAAAACCCTTATTTCTGTAACCTATGACAGACCCCAGTCTCTCATGTAAACCAGGCGGAGTTTGCACCTTGGAGGGAGCAGATGCCGGGTAAGTGTTGCCTCCTCAGCTGGTAGGCCCATGTGAATTTAAATCTGCACAAAGATGAATGTGAACAGCTGCTGATGCCCGAGGGGCCTGTTTAGATGGGGGGATGTGCGCTTATTTCGTGTTAGTGAAAACATCAAGCAAATCTTTGGGAGAGCCGGTCTCCTCAGCAGGGTGACACCCTTTGCCCCAGATGTGAACGGAAT